GAGGCGCTCCCGCGGCCGGTGGCCTCCGTGGAGTACCCGGCGCCGGTGTGCCATACCGTCCCCTCGGAAAAACGAGGAAGTAACTCCAAGCAGAGCTTTTGTAGGGGAAGGACAAGCTCCTTGAAGCTGGCAGGTTTAACGTCTTGTCCACTTTCGTGCAGTGAGCGTGTTAAGCAGAATAAACTTGTCGCCCCGCTGCCCCTTTGCCCTTAGCATCCCTCAGATTTCAGCATTGTGCATTGCGTGCGATTTCCTTATCTAATGCGCGTCATGGTTAGTGTGCTTTCGTTATTCCCTCCGCTCGCGTAGTGGATTTTTGTTTTCACTGCCGTAAGAGCTACCGGTCTGCTAGGGGGTAAGAGCTCAGCCGCGGGCCGTTGCTGTGTCCGGTTTAGAACCGCAGAGAAAACTTTGTCGTGGCAAACGGTTCACCCTCTCTCGGGGTGTTGCCCATCACGGGTGGAAGTAAAGCATAATTGTGTCGCTGTTACAAGGAAATATTTGAGAGTGCTGAATAAAGTTAAATAAAAGCCAAGTAGTTGCTGTCGCACGCGGTCTCAGTTTGTTCTGTGTTTGCAGCGTGTGGTCAGCGTTCTCCTAAATAGGGTAAAGTCCCTATTAAAGCTTATGCTGACAATCCTGCTCCCTACAGAAACATATAGTTCTGTTCTGTTTCTCTGCGTGCTGTGGCAGACCAGACAAAAACGTTCTTTTTCCCTCCTGCTTTAACGGCCTTTTAACTCTCCGGTGCTGTTTAATGTTTGGCATTTCAAAAATACTAGCATGGCAATTTCTGTTGAATCCTTCCTCCGCTTTGGAGCACAAAGGGAAGAAGCCTTCCCCTATGTGGAAAACGCATTTTTCTGTAACTTCGCACTACTACTTTTGTAATCCATGCCGTTGTTTCCTTAGGGGTCTGTGCTGCAGTAACCCCCATTCCACCTCAAGAAAATTGAAAGACTTCTTTCACTCTGATTCTCTTTTTCAAACATGGGACCTGAAGTTTGCTTCATGTAATGTTTTGGGTCCTTGCCAGCCCCCGGAGTAGAGTTTGAACCTGATTCTCCTTTTGCAAAATCATGTACAGTAGTAGTAATATTTTTTGACATATTTCTGATGAAAAAAACCCGTTCTTAAAGTATCTGTGGAAATCTTTTATCGTGCTAATTTTGTATTTTGCTCTTTATTTTTCCTTGCAATGGGCCCTGCATGTCTTCTTCTTTTCTTTACTCCTCTTACACAAAGGGTCATAGAGTTTGGTTGTCATCCTTATCTATTCTGTTGTCAAACTAGTACATAGATGCTCTTGTGCAAGCGAGGAAGACTTGAGGAGCGTTCTTGACAAATTGCAAAAGGAAACGTGAACAACTATTTTATTGTTTTTTTCTGATCCTAACTGCTGAAGATACTTACGTTTTGTGATTTTCAGGCTATACATATACACAAGCATGAATCTAATCATTTTATATATTGCCTTGCCTTGCAGGTTAGCTTGCAAACAGCTTTGTTAATTCTTCTGGGGGTTAACTTTTCCATCGGAAATGGAGTACAGGACTCAGCTACCACACCCTGAGTGACGAATGCTTTAATACAAAATGGAGAAAAAGCGTAGAAAGAAATGAGCCTGTTCATTAGGCTTTACCTCAAAAGACCATGAAATCTCTACTTATTTTGGACACAGCTTTAAGAATATCCGATTGAACAGCACGGTGAAGGCAACGTTTGCTGAAACAAAAATGAACTAGTTTATAAAGAAGAAAAGTGATTTGAATATATGGAATTTTTGGAATGGAACCATTTCCTTCTATGACCATGAAGTTTGCAAACATCTGGTTTGTTCTGGTTGTTATTTTACTCTGTGGCAAAAAACACCTTGGTACCAGACTAGGAAATTCCTCTCATGAGGCTCACATATGTCCTGGATGTTCTCGCCTTACTTTGAAAGTGGAATTCACTTCGACAGTCGTGGAGCATGGTAATAAAGAGTTGACAAAAAGTACCTGCGGAATTCAAGTGCACGTTACTGGTGTGTGGTATTTGTGCGAGGGTAACATTCGGAGAGTCTCTGTAGATGTAAGACCTTCTGCTAAATTCTCCATGTTCAAATGGATAAACAGAGCTTTTCTCCAAAGTTTCCAGCTTAACTGGAGACAAGTTTTTAAAAACAGGAAAGAGAAGAGCGAGAGCAATAAGGAGGATGCTTTAATGGTTAAAAGAGAGAAGTAGGCTCAGATGGGCAAATCGGAGCACTTTGGTGTGTTTAGTAGCTGTTGTTTTTGAGCCAGTTGTTGATATGTTTGAGGCCTTTTTATGCAGCAAAACCAGAAATGGGCTCAAAGGAGTGAGAACAAGAAATCTCTGTGTGTTTGTTCAAGGAAGGGTTCGGAAGCGATAATACCTGTCTGGAGAAATTGCGAAGATAACTTTGAAGGCAGCAGATGAAAGGGAAAGTGATGCTGATATCACTGATGAAAGGGAAAAGGATAGCAGCAGAGCAAAGCAAATAAGAGTGGCAAACGGAATGGCTTTGAAGGCCAAATGAAGCTGTTCAGTAAAAAGACAGGGAGAAAGAGTGCATGAGTTCTTGCAGTGTGTGCTCTACGTTTTCAAGGAAGCGATTTCACAAAAAAGGATATATGAAATGGAATCTTTATTGGGATGGGCAGCCATGTGGTTGCAGAACATTTAATATAAATGCAGTGTATGAATGGCAAAGGAATGTGGAGGAAAGAGGAACAGTAAATTTGTATAGTTTGTTAAATAGTTACAAAACCAAGAGGTTCTTGAAAGGTATGTGGAGACTCTTATGTCTGCTTTTGTGCTAATATTTGAAACCTTGGGTTCATGTAATTTGCTAACTTATTTGACTCAGTCTTAGAAGTCAGCATCTAACTTGTCCTCAATTTATGCCTTGACCCTCCATCTGGGCAGAATGTCAATAACCACATGTTTGTGCAGAGTTAGCCAAAGACTTGCTTAGGTGAATGTGGTGTGCACGGGGGCTGAGGTCTACCCCCAAGTTATTAATCCAGATCGAGGATTGTTGAGACCAGCTCAATTCTCTGTGTGTCACGGATGGTGTCAGTAATTTGCTGTTGCTAACTAAAAAGTTCCAAAACTCAATACCTTATAGAGTCTGGATGTCTTTAAATCATGTATGTCAAGAGGCATATTGAATTGGCATATCAAGCAGTTGTTTGTACTGTTGGACGTAACTGTAACTCCGTTCTCTTCCCCCTTCCCTCTCCGTGCTCCCTGTTCTGCCTTTCTGTGGTGTTTACTAGTCTATCATCTTTTCAAAGGTCTTTAACGTATTTTGGGGGTTTCATGATGCAAAAAGAAAC